AGTAACCCCTATTATATGGGTATCAACTTTAAGTTTTAAAATTTGAATTTAAAAATTTTTCTTAAGTGACATAAAGCTGAATGAAGAATAATACTAATGACTTGTAAACCTCATTAAATTTGATAAACCGATATGTAATTAATCAGTATGTTTATAATTGCTTACCTAAGAATATGTGTTAATGACAGTATTCCCAAGAAAAAGAAATAGCCAGTTAACAATAAATTAATATACTCCTTCGAAAATAACTTGAAAACTATATAAAGGCCAAATAGTGCCAAAGATGCCATAATTGGAAACATTGCAGCATCTTTTTTAGACATTGTTTCTGGTTTCTACAGATAACAAAAAATTATAAGTTTTATAAATATACAAGTTGACAAAAATTTTCATACACATTTCATAATGTAGAAATGCACTTTATTAATTAAAGCAATCTAATGTAATCGTTAGTTTTTGGTAAAAATTGATCAGTTACTACATCAATGCATTCATTTACACTGTAACTGTGAAATACCTTTTCCTTATGGTAAGTAATTGAACGATAAGAACCAAAAAATATGGGCAATAAAGCCATAATAACTAAACTTCCATATGCAACTGCCATTCCTTCTGGTGTACTGGGATGTTTTCCAGTTCCATTTATATTTGTTTGATTAACATTTTCTGTTGCTTGATACATAATATTGGGTATAACATCAGCCATTCTACCACCAAAACGAAACATCAACAGCCGACACAAGAAGTTTAACTGACAAGAGGCTTGCAAAACATACGTGTCGAAAAACTACAGTTTGTCAAATTATGATCATATTCATAGATAATATTATTCATAGATAAATATTATTGCTGTCAACCACTGCACATGAAAAACAAACGTTAATTATTATTAATTTATGATCACAGATATCAGATATATACTATTATCAATGACTATTATATATCTATGATCTATGTTTTATGATTATTATTTAAACTACTTATTCCACTTTCAACTAGGTTGAATTTTTAAATAACACAAAATACATTATGTACTTAACAATTCATTTCGGTTAGCAGAAAAAACATAGGAACTGCGTATAAAAGACATTATAAAATTGCAATGTTAATATTGATATTACGATGTTGAATATATGAATAAATTTGTCATTGATAAATGTTCAGCAATTTCCATCTTAGCTGCAGCTTTGCATAAAAACTTAAGTTTACACTAATACTGTTTCCACATTGCTCGTTACATTTTACCAAGAAAATATAAAACATCATTCGCCAATAGAAAGTGATATTAGAATAATGTCTGTATTTTTTAAATCTACATAAAAATATCTGTTTTGTTGAAAAATATTGTTTAGCTACAATTACGATCAACATTCATTAATTACTTTAAGATTCAGAGAAAATTGGAGTTAGTCTAACAACTGAAAAAGAAGTTTTTACAGTGTTTGCAACTAAAACACTGCTTAAAGATTGAACAAGAAAAGTACAATTACAAAATCCTTCTTCTAAACATTTACTATTTCCACACTGTCTCTTTCGGCTGCACGGCCATTTTTTGTATCTTTCCACTTTATACTTTACTATTTCTGCAAATTGAGGACAAAATCTGCAAAAAAGAGGAAAATTTGACGAAACATTTATGGCACATAAAATTGAAGTTAGTATTCTGAGCAATTCTAATGGTTTTGATCTTTTCGCCATTTCGATGTCACCGAAAAATATAAGGTTTGTTGCCATATATCTGGAAACTGCTTGTGATGGCACTACTCCAATCATAAAGAGAAACACTATGGTAATTAGTGATATAACAAGCTTTTTGTGTTGTTCCTAAAACAAGACAAGCTATAAATATCAATAATTATTA